ATGGAGTTCCAGCACCTTTTTTGGATGGAACCTTGTAGGGTAGACAAGGCGGGTTGTACGACATGTGTGAATTCTGGCACCTTTTTTTTTAAAGAAAAAAAGCACTGAGCAAGGTAATCAATTTCTCCTTCTGAATGTGGTATCCTAGAAGGGTTCTGAATGGTTCTCACCATTTTATTTATCTTTTTATTCGATTGGCTGCTCATCTCAAACAGGTAACTTTGGGCAGTGACCAATAATAAAATCAATTAAAAACTAATTTACAATACCAGTACAAAAAGAGAAATTAAATATAGTTAGTCCTTGACTTTTGACTGGTCATTTGATGACATTCACAGTCCTATAGCTGATAGGAAAATGCATTCTGAGCTTTTCAGAACAAGGGCATTTGCTACTGTTTTCCCCTTCAGAGGGGAAAGTACTAGTGAATGCCACTGTTCTCATGATCATTCTCCCTGGTAGGATGGAGAGAAGGCCCAGGCCACTAGTGTGTGGTGTCCCACCATTCCTGGGAGACTTGGCCCCTCTCCCCAGTGTTCTACTTTATGGCCTGTGTAGTTGCTTAACAACCACATTGGGAGAAATGGCATTGTGGTCATTGAGTAAGGCAGCTATAGAAGATCACACAGACTGGCTACAAACAATGGCATGGCAAAGTAGCAACAATGGTAAACTGGAATATCTGCAAGAAATACCATTTGCCTGTAAGCAAGAACTGGTGGGATCACAAAATAGACAAGTAGAAAATGAAGAAGCTAAAGTACTTTGGAACTTAGACTTCAAACAGACAAGCACCTGACACATAACACCCCAGACTTAACAGCTGTCAATAAGAATGAGAAAAAAGAAAGACTCTGTACTGAGTGTAGCAATACCTAGAGGCAGCGTAATAGAAGAGAAAGCACAGGAGAAAATCACAAAATACAAAGACTTGCAAATAGAAGCAGAATGACTGTGCAAACGAATGCAAAGATAGTACCAATAGTGATAGATACCTTTGGTGTAATCCCAAAATATCTGGACCACCACTTGAACACTATCAGCACTGACAAAATCACCATCAGTCAAAAGGCGGCTTTATTTGGACAGCTTATATCCTGCGCAACAATATATTTAGCACCATCAACAACATTTGCCTATCCCAGGTGCTTGGGAAAAACCTGATTGGTGGATAAAAATGCCAAATCCAGTCATAATAAAATACATTAAACTGGTATTCTACCTGACTCCCAGTGACTCTGGGTGGCTCACAACAATCAAAGACCATTACAATAAAACTGATAAAAGGTAGCAAAAATGATAGACCTGATGGAATAAATCAAAGAATGAATAGACAGACAGTCAGACGATAGATAATTACCACAAAAATTAGTCTTGATGGTTACATAGAAAAAACACTAGTTGATTAATAAAATTGTCGCAGTTGCTGCCAGTAGAAATCATGACTTGCAATCTCCCATTGTCTGAGCCTATATTTACTATTGGGATGATTCAGTCCTCAACTGAGGACTGAAAAAAAAAATAAATGAATTCACTCATTCTGAGAATGAGTAAAGAAGAAATGGTTGCTACTATATAGTGCCAGTGCAATTTTTTTTACATGATTTGTGCTCCATAATATTAAAACCCACGTTTTATTATCCAAAGAGCTGAGTTTAGAACGGTGTTTTCTGGTATCCTTATGCCATGATTTGTACTTCATTAAACAGTCATTTAATCACACTGTTCCTCCATTATTATTTGAATAAATTTATTTTATGCTGGTCATTGTCATACTCCATCTCCCTCATTATCAGAGCCTTTATTTCTTTTAAAAATATGAGCTGATTATGCGCATATTTACTTATTCACCATGGACACCTTGCTAATTTCTTCTGATGATTTCTTCTGGGTGGGGAGGAAGAGGGGGATGCTAATCCTGGCTGCTTTACTGTCTTGTGCAGACATAGCCTCCATCAATTTTTTTTCCTGCACACACTGTGGCAGTCGCCTGGATAAGGATAAACAACTGTCTATCATTTTAGCACTTTTCCTCAGAAATGAAAGAAAAGGCCTGATCCCACAACCCCAAAGGAGGAAATATGTAATGCAACCAGAAGCTGAGACAAAATGGGCCAAGCAAATCAAAACCAATATACCTAAATAAAGCAATGGCCCAGCCACATGTTCCACAAACACATAGCACAATGCCGGAATAATCAGAAACCATCACCTTTAGGCAAATGTATGGCTTTTAAAATCTCACAGGCAGCTCTGTTGTTTGATGTCCTCCAAATGATAGGCAGAATCAGAACTGAGTTTAGCTAGAACTAAGATACCAAAAACCAACTGAAAACCGGCTGATGAGATGAATTTTTTCATTTGCTAATTGTTCCACTTAAGGGTTATCCTGGTACTTATTTGTGTGGTAAAGGGTCCAGCAAAGTGCATGCCGTTCAATATTTTTGAAAGTAAGGGTTCAGCAGAGGAAGCCAAAATGGAGCTGAAAAAAATTAACATTCAACTTCTTGGGGACCAGTAAGAAACTTAAATTCCTCAACTATAAAATAGGGGATGATATTAATTATGCCCTTGAAAGGAGTACTAAGTTAAGGAATAGAACATACCAGAAGTGCTAGCAAAACCATTAACAGTAACACAAGAATACTAACTTAAATTCAAATATGAAGTTCCTTATCCTAGTCAACACTCTGTGCTTTGCTTATAGCACAGAGGAATGTAAAATGTAAAGTAAGCCAGAAGTAAGAAGAAAGAAGCTTGGCCTCAAAATCCTAATCTCTATGTCAAGGTCTTTCATTTTCCATATGGAGACTTTTGGTGTCTTCAGGACGGAAATCCTTGCTGGGTCTACACTATTATTTTGCCTAGAGAAAACAAACTCTCCATGGCTAATTGCCTTCAATAAATCACTCAGACATTCCCAGTATTTTCCACCAGCTTCTTTCCCCTCCCAAATTTCCTCTCGACCCTTAAAAGCCAAAGGAACTGGCTTCCAGATAAACATGTCATCCACTTTAGTCCCATGAGAGCTCCTTCTGATCTGGAATGGCTTTTGTTTTTTGCATGTTCCTATCTTCAAGGCAGTTTCCTCCAAATCTGACAAAAAAAACCAGGTTAATCAAATGTCCCCAGATACACCAAAATGGGCAACAAAAAGGCAATCCCCCCCCCAAAGACCTAATTCAAATGCAATTTTAAAGAATGTTCTATTAAAGTCTAGAAAGGTAGAATGTTATTAATGCTCTGATTTGCAACATTTGCACCTCTCATCTCCTCCCAGAACCTTGGGATACCTTGTAGGGTATCAGGCATAATCCTGTGAAATAGGCTAGGTTCAATAATTTTCTCCGTAACCCACTCAGGGAAGTTCATGAGCGATTAGGGATTTAAACCCCTTTTTCCCCAGCTCGGATCCAATGCTAGTCCTCTTCTCATGCTTGCCCAGGCATTCAATTAACATGTGGAAAAGAAGGGCAGAATTATATCTTCTTCACACTGAATTCTCTGTGCTGGGAATAATTTGAGACTTCAACTTCTGAAGTGCCTCTCTTTGTGTGCATGAGAAAAGGATTTCTCTATCATCTATCAATCATCTATCTATTATCTATATATCTATATCTATCTATCTATCTATCTATCTATCTATCTATCTATCTATCTATCTATCTATCTATCTATCTATCTATCTATCAAGGCTCCACACATATTTGCACTTCTCAGGTGACCTTTAGGACACAGGTAAACCTAAAAGAATGCAAATGACCATCTGTATGAAAGCAATACAAATCCTTCCACTCTGCACCATTCTAGTCAGAGCGGAAGAAACTTCTTGGATAAGAAGCAAAATGTCTTCAAAAGAAACACAAGAAAGTCCAGTTGCCTCCTGAAAAAAGCACCTTTGAGACAGGACCAGTAGCTTTTTGTTGATTCCCTCATTTATCCTGAAATACACACTCTCTATCTCTTATCTATCTGTATCTGTATCTGTATTTGTTATCTCTCTCTCTCTCTCTCTCTATGTGTGTGTGTGTGTGTGTGTATGTATGTGTATGTATGTATGTGTGTGTGTGTGTGTGTGTGTGTGTATATATATATATATATATATTTCTAATTTCATTAAAAACACGAATCCTGGGTGAAGTTATATTATAAAAACAAATAAACATGAACACCAGGAAAAAATTTAAACTAAAAACCTTTAATCTAATGCCAAGCTTTCGTCGGTCAACTACCGACATCATCAGGGCTTAAAACAGGTCGATGGGAGTCTTCTTTATAGTGTTGGCCAGTTTTTGCGCATAATTTATATATATTATGCGTGGCTTGTAAAAATGGTGAAACTCTATTTTTTTAACCCTAATTCATTTCCACTAGTTCCTTGCACAGCACTGATTACTTTAATTGTGTGTTGGCAAGGCAAGATGCCCAGATAGTCTACTGGATGAATCAAGTAGACAAGGGTGAAAGAAAGGACAATGAATGGAGATGGATGGAGCACCAGTTGATCTATTTAAATGAAGCCAAATGTGATCTTAGTTCTAAATTTTGGAATATTTCCTCTGATTTAGGCACAACAGTTAGATTTGTTGAAGACATTGTAACAGCCATATCCCTGAATTATATACTGCCTTCACATGACCATGTGGTGGTCTGTACTGAGTGTTGTTCCCAAATGTTTATGTCCCAGTCCAATAAAAAAAAGTGTGAGAAGTCATAGTGGAACCAAATCACAATGGAATCAAAATAATGAAATGGAGAGGAACAGAGAAATCAAAGCAGAAAGACAATTGGTTTTTGAAGTTGAGCTAAATGGGTTTTTCTGTTATTTTGATACATGCAAAGGAGAGGCTATTGGTAGACTGTAGTAGTATTTTTTTCTCTATATTGTTCAGTTGTCTTCAGTTCTGCAGACTTATATAAGCATACTATTGAGAATATATGTACTCGGAGCAAAACTCACTTAACAACTGCCTTGCTTAGCAGCAAAAATGTTGGTTCAATTGTGGTCATAGGTTGAGGACTACCTGTACTCAGTTTTGAGCTTATTTTTTTGCTCTATATGGAATTCCAAATATCCTTATGGAGGATATCTTTTAAATTTATGTCTCATGTTGCACCCTAAATGCATTCTGCTTTCCACACATCAGATAATGTCATATACTACTATAAGTGTACATACTTTTTGTTAAGTCCTGCAGGGAATGTGTGCATGCAGTAACCCCTGTTAGCTTATCACGGAGAACAACCTGTGATTCAGATTAACATGTCTGTTCCTTTTTGGCATCTTCAGATGCATATTGTGGCTTTTAGTTCTTAAGTTTAAACAAAGAAAGTGTTCAAATAAACAAATATTTTCCCAAGTTCTTGGCTGTCAACTTCTGAAAGATGCCTTTACAGACTGGAAGAACTGGTACAAGATATACACCAGCTGTTCCTCATGAATAGAGACTAATTCAGAAGGGCAGAGCAGGAATGTCCACATTCAGTAGCTGAAACAGCAGGGATAAAAGCATAGTACAAAACTGGTTGGTTAACATTTCTCTGCATGAAGAAATACTGCAAACATGGAGGGTTAAGGATCTTGTTGGAGTGTATGAAGCAATGCCACAAAATAGGTAGGGCTATACATTTTTTTAAAAAAATCTTGACAATTATATCTATTTGCTACTCTTTTCTCAAATCTCAGATAAGGAGCAGAATGTAAAATAAGAGAATAAATAATAATTATGAAATTAATTTGACACGAGTAATTTTTTGATTAAAATTTAAGAGCTAGTGGTGGGCTGGTGGTTAAGGTGGTGGACTTGGAATGGAGAAGGCCAAGTTCTAGCTCCACCACCACCCCACTCCCAAGCCATGGAAACTCCCTGGTGATTTGTCTATGGAGGTTGGCAGTCATCCAGGTCATGGCTGTCCCAAAGGTGGTTTTTCAGGAGGCCACTGGACTTGCTTGCTTTTCTTTGAAAATGACCAGCTGTCTGCAAGGAATATAAGTCTTTCCATTCCTCACCATAGAGCTGAAGAAGCTTCTTGGATGAGAAGTGAAATATCTTCAAAGAAAAAATAAGAAAGTCCAGTGGCCCCCTGAAGAAGCACCTTTGGGACATCTCTAGTGATTTTGGGCTACTAATTTCTCTGAACTCAGCCTTCTTGTTGTGAGAAAAATGATTTGTGTTGCACTTAGATATAAGCATGCATCAAATAAAAATGCTACTACTGAACTAAATTTGAGAAAAACAATGTATGAATAGAATAGATTAAAAAAAAAAACAGCCTCTCTGTGACTTCTCCAACCAGCTGTCTTGAGACTGCACCTCTCAGCATTCTTAGCACCTTCCAGATGTTAGGATTGTCTCCTAACACAATTGGCATTCTTCAGATGTAGGAAGACTCTGACCCAGAATTTTCAATCCCCAACTGCTTGGGGATTCTGAGAATAAACGTCCTCATATAGCTGGAGGGCAACAGGTTGGATAAAGCTGCTGTCAGGTTGAAGCTGTACTTTCAAGCAATAGTTTCTATAGAAAAAAGGTTGCAGCCTTAACTTCTTTCCTGTTTGTCATTTGGAAAAACAACAAGGAGGTATTTCACATTTTCAAGTGATAAAACAGATGGCTACAATTAGATCTTCAGACTTTTGAGTTAATGGATGTACAGTATGCCTACATCTCTCTCTCTTTCTCTCTGTGTGTTGATCAGTTTGTTTTCTTAGTTTCAAAAAAATCTATTTTGATACAGCAACATACATGTTCTGCTGAACATCTAATTCTCATAGTACTGTCTAATGTCCATGTATATTTACCCATGTAGTAGGGCTGTATTGCTGTTGATATCCTTATTATCTTTTTTACTACATCTCTTATTAATAGATGATGATGATGATGATGATGATGATGACGACGATGATTCTTTTGCTTTGCATGTACACTGAGAGCTTCTACACTGGAAATAAATTCCTTGTGTATCTAATCACACTTGGCCAATTAATTCTATTCTATTCTATTCTATTCTATTCTATTCTATTCTATTCTATTCTATTCTATTCTATTCTATTCTATTCTATTCTATTATTTCTATTTCTATTATTTCCTATCCTATCCTAATCCTACCCTATCCTACTCTTGTATCAAAAATATTATACTGTAGTATTTATAATATTTATGTATGTACAATATACAATATTTACAGTAAATATATTGTTTTGAGATAGAATATATTATTCTTACTCCAGAAATATTTTATCACAAAGCCAAAGATTACGGAGGGAAAATCAAGTGATTTTTATAACTATAGTTGTTTCCATGACTGGGAGAGACACACTGACACACACAGACACACAGACACAGACACACACACACACACAGAGAGAGAGAGAGAGAGAGAGAGAGAGAGACACTTAAGAATGGCTAGCAGCTTTGTCAAGGCTGCCTGCCAGAAACAGTTCCTTCATCTATGTTACAAATGCACAGTGTGAGTTGTTTTACAAATGCACACAGTGTTATGCAGAATGATACATTATTTCTAAAGAAAAATAAACAAGTCATAAAATGTAACATGCTCCGACTTTTTAAAAATAAAATTCGTAATTCTTGCCTGACTCCCAAAATGTTTTAAAGCCAACTATTTCCCATGAAGAAAGAAGACATATATAGAAAATCTCCTTGGTCCTATGAATTTTATCCAGGGGAATGTACACAGAATAATTAGCAACAAAATGGAAAGACTAGCAAAGTGATGTTACAAAACACAGGAAAAATGTAATGTCAAGCATTCATTCAGGAGGACATTTTTCAAGAAGAGACTGAGCAGCCATTTGTTGGGAATGATATAGGGCAGGGGTAGGCAACCTTGGCTCTTTTATGACTCGTGGACTTCAACTCCCAGAATTCCTGAGCTAGCCATGCTAACTCAGGAATTCTGGGAGTTGAAGTCCACGAGTCATAAAAGAGCCAAGGTTGCCTACCCCTGGTATAGGGTCTCCCAATGTCCTAGATGTTCTAAAATTCTGTCCAGGCCCAAAATCTGGGCCAGACTGAAGAAGATTGTGTAGTAGAGTATGGTAGGAATCCCAAACTATGCTTTGTAGCTTTTCAAGAAATTTTTATCTTGTACTGAAGCCAGGTCTAAGGTAATCATAAATTCAAAACTTCATTTTCAATCATAAACGTCACATACGATGATGTTATTTTTGTTAGGGTAATCTTGTACCTCTGACTTTCTAGAATTTCGTCTCTCCCTCCCTAGCGCAAGAATTCAATAAAGACGAGAGCAAGTTTAATAGATGAAAAGGACAGACTTGACTTAATAGCATTTGTGTTTAAGTGAAGATTGGGGAGAATGGATAATTTCAGGATTGGCAAATAGTGAAATTTTGACTGTTTCCTTTCTTAGGTGACTATTCTAGAACCTCAGGATAGGATGATTAGCACCAACTCACTTTGGCAGAGAGCTTGTAGGGTGACAAATAATGGCTTTGAGAAGCAGAACACACTGAGCCAGTGTGGTTAATGTGAAGGAGGTCAAGTTAAGGATGAATGTGTCTGCACAAGAAAGGGCTCATGACCTTCTGGAGAGAAGGTATGTCATGTGCTGAGGTCCTCCAATATAAAACAAAATGATTTGGTGTATTTTAACTTAACAGTATGTGTCCACTTAGTATTCTGGTGAATTTTGACTGGTAGAAAACAGCCTTGTTTATAGCAGTTACCAGGCAATTCTTAAGTTTATGCCAGGAAATTTTATTTATTTATTTAAAAAAATTATGACTCCTTATAAGCATACATTTACTGCTAGTTCTCCCATTGGTTTTTTTCCCATCACTTTTTTCTCAGCAGAGCCTCAGCTGTAGTGCAAACATAGGCTTGTGAAACATGAAGAGGGAGGGAGGGAGGAAAGAAAGAAAAAGAAAGAAAAAAAGAAGGAAGGAAGGAAGGAAGGAAGGAAGGAAGGAAGGAAGGAAGGAAAGAAGTTAATTAATGATACATTTATTTATGAAATACAGATAGTCATTGACTTACAACAATTCATTTAGTGACCATTCAAAGTTACAGCGGCACTGAAAAAAGTGACTTATGACCATTTTTCACACTTATAACCACCGTAGCATCCCCATAGTCACATGAACAAAATTCAGATGCTTGACAACTGATTCATATTTATGACGATTGCTGTGTCCCAAAGTCATGTGACCCCCCCCTTTTGCAACCTTCTGACAAGCAAAGTCAATGGGGAAGCCAGATTCACTTAACAGCCATGTTAATAACTTAACAACTGCAGTGATTTGTTTAACAACTGTGGCAAGAAAGGTAGTAAAATGGGGCAAAATTCACTTAACAAACGTTTCACTTACCAACATAAATGTTGGGCTCAATTGTGGTCATAAGTCAAGGACCACCTGCCTGCTGTGTGCTATGACATAGGATCAATCATAAGAAGCACAACAGGGGCAGGAAGAAAATTGTCAATCATAGATATATAGATGGTCTGTACTTGAACCCAAATACCTACATAAATAATTTTGTCCACTGAAAAAAAATACAGTTTAAAATTCACCCAGTATAGAAGATGGGCCACTTATTTGCAAGGACATGGACATGTATAAGGAGATCTTAAATAATCCTGAGTTTCTTGGTCTGTATATATTTTGATTTCTTATCAGTTGTTTTTAGAATATTTTGGACCACTCTATAACTTTGAAATAATATTTACCTTTATGCTTCAAAATTGATTTCACTGGATGAAAATCTTTGTGCAAGAACCACAGAGAAGAATCTCAAATGCTTCTCCATATTGGGGGATCGTCTTTCTTTGAAAGTATATCATATTCTCAATCAGTACTTCAACTTTTAACATTTAGTTAAGGAGTTCAATGAGTTTGGTTAAGCAGCCATAGCATAAGTATAATACTTTTTCCACTTACACATACAAATATTTGCACACACAAATGTAAGATACAGAATGTAAGATATATGCATGAATTTAAGGAAATCCATTGTTGCTGTCTATACATCCTAAAGGTAAAGGTAGATGGGAACTAAATCTAGTCCTTCCATTCCAGTGTATCAGAATTTAAGATCCACAGGGCAGTTCCAGTCAAAGTCTCAGCATCAGACAGCAGCAGTTTTCCATCATGTCTGCTGAAAGGCATTACCTATCAGTTCAATTCACAGACTTTTTTTTCTGGAATTCCAAATAGAAGAAGACATGGTGAAGCCAGGTTGATTTAAGACCACCAACTTGTTCTGCTTAGGCCTCAAATCTCCTTGCTGGTAATGACTCTCCTGCCCTGTTGACCTGGAGGTGAAAGGTGCCATCTTCACTTCCAAATCCCCGAGGCTCCTTGTTTTCTCCTTCTGTGGAGGAGATTTTTGCTGTGGTCACAGTTCTGATACAATTTCAGTTCAGCTGACACATGGGTGGGTGTTGGGATGGGGAATAATTTGCACAATGGAGAAAACAAATTCCTATTTAATTCCTATTCCCATAGCCGTTATTATTGAACCTTTTCAGCACTTCCAACTATTGCTGTGGCTTTTTTTATTGATTCTTCCAGATTCATCTTATCAGTGGTTACCTTCAGCCTTCTGATGTTGCAATAAGAAGTGAGAATAATGATCATTACAAGAATTTCCACCAACTAAAAAAAGCCTCGAGTTTGGCTAGCCAGATTTGAGGAAAAACTGCTTTGCAAATTTCCTCATAAATACCTTGGGCTCAAAACTAATACAGCTGGAGAGTGCTCTTAATTGCAAACTAGAAGCTGTTTTAATCATTGTCATCATCATCATCATCATCATCATGCCATTATCCCATCTGACCTACACCTATAGGCATATTGATACTCCCCCAGGCATGGTGGTTCTAATATTATATATTTTATTTTTGATGGATTGATTGCTTATGGTTTTGATTTGATTTTATGGGATCCTCCACTGTATCAGAACTCTTTGTCATGCTTCTTCTCCCTTTGAATATTTAACTCAGATCCCCTTCAGCAATCAATCATAAAAAAAAAGTCTCCTTCTATGGATTCTATGGACATGACCATGTTGTTTTCTGGACCACAGAGCAAAAATAACTTGCCACGTTTGGTATGTTTTTAGATTTCTCAGTATAGTCTGCACATTTGAAAGTTCTTGATGGTCCACCATCCAGATATTACCCAGACCCAATCATACTTTATTTTTTACAGATTAGTTAGATGCTGCCATCATAAAAAACAAAACTACTGCATAGGGCTAGGCACATGAAATACTCTTAGATTAATAAGTATTTGTAAACCCAAATGATGAGGCTTTGGCATTTTGAAAATTAAAAAATAAAAAAAAAATCTGTGCAGACAATTTCAATTGTTCATTGAAACCCCTTGGCTAAACTCCATCAATAATTTATAGACAGACTGAGTTCATATTCAAGCCTAAAAGCCACATGTGTGGTATGCATGATGTTGCTCATTCTTATAAGAAACAAGAGATTCGAGAAATTCTTCAGATCTCTCAATGAGCAATCTGCAAATAATATTTGAGAAAGGCACACTGTTTTCTATTAATAGTGACTTGATATTTTTTCATTGTAATAAAATAATAGCAATGAAATTACATTGATATGATTGTTTCCACTCTGTTTTCCACAGCCTAGGTAATATGATTCAGGCTATAGTACTTAACTTGAATGGTTTCTCTTGGCAAGGAAATTTAAAGCATAGGACCCAATATTCTTTATGCCTAGAATACCCCAAAAAAAATCAGGCATCCAAGAATAGGATGTAATGGAAACTATTAGGGGTGAATAAAGAGAATATACATACCATTTTCAATAGAAAAAGCAAGAAAGTTGGCAGATTGCTGAACCACCCATAATTAGGAAAGAGAATGGTTTAGCAGAACTAAGGAGTCCACAAAACTAAGATCAACAGAATATTAGGAGAAAATGATTGAGGTAGCAGCCCTGAAATGGATGCATTCAAAGAAGAGTCTCTTGATTCCATCTCCACAGCCACAATGATGTGGTCTTATTGTGCCTCATTTGATAACCAGGGCCAACATATCCTCTGAAATATCTAAAATTCAACAAGGAAGTGGCAATTATATATACATGCCATATATTTTTCCTACGTGGTCTTTAAGACAAAGAACAAATGCTGTACATCAGGAAGAGCTGTGGTGGTACAGTGGCTAGAATGCAGTACTGCACGCTATCTTACTGCTCACTTCAGGAGTTCGATTCTGACCCCCTAAAAGTTGACTCAGCTTTCCATCCTTCTGAGGTCGGTAAAATGAGGACCCAGATTGTTGAGGGCAATGTTATGCTGATTCTGTAAATCATTTAGAGAGGGCTGTAAAACACCATGAAGCAGTATATAAGTCTAAGTGCTATTGCTATTTATGAACCAGCATTTTCTTTAAAAAAAAAAAAAAGTGGGGGGGGAGGCTCAGGCCTGGTCGGTACTTGCATGGGAGACCAGCTCTGTAGGCTAGGCCACCAGAAAGTACCAGAAGCAGAGATTAGCTGCTTCCATATTGTTGCCAAGGAAACTAGATGGATGTATCCAAGAAGTTGTCAGCAGTCGAGCACAGTTTGAAGGGAGATTTTATCATTTTATTTTGTGCAAATATTTAAATAGAGAGGACAGCTGTAGGGGATAAATCATATTATTCTTAGAATTCTTAGAACTCCAGGCTTTGGCCTCATTTCACAGGAGGCCCCACTTCAATGCTGCTGGCGGCTGGGAGTTGCAAGGGCAAGTCTAATGATTTGACCTTAGTCAAGCAGGCAGGGAGAAATTATGCCTGAAAACAGGACTCCTGTTTCTCTTCTGCCATTCCCTCACATTCCCCTGCAGAAAGCAACGGGGTGGGGTGGAACACACAAACACTCTTCCCCCCTCAGCAACAGGTTGTTTTCTCCAAGGGGGTTTCACTGCCTCTGCACACCCCCAGTGTAAACTGCACGAAGGGAAACAGAGCCACCAAAGCTACACTGCACTCCAGTTATTGTCCCTGCTGCTCAAATATACCCAGCTTATTTTTCTTTTAGGACCAGACCCAGGCACTTGAAGCAGAACAAACAGTTCTCTAAGGCAGAGTTCCAAAGCAGCTCCCACCAATGGGTGGCTCTTTCAAAACTACGTTTTCTTGTCCCAGCTGGAGCATCGCCAGATGCAGTCACCGAATGATATCTTTGGAGAGGGTGGAGTAGGGCTATTCAGCACATACACTGCCACAACTGCCTATTATACTGCTCAATTCCCATGGGTTTCTTCACATGTGACCAGGAAGCTGGGCAGAGGCAAGGATCTCCCCTGAGCACATCCTTGTCGTGAGAAAAATGGGGGAAATGACAGCCATTAGAAACCAACTTCGGGCTCATTACAGGATGGAAAATGTTGGCTATTGTAATTGGCAGTACTTCCTTTCTTGTTTAAACTTGAATTTTCCACAACCGCTGCCTCTCCTTTTCCTTATGCCCTTGCTGGTTCCACTGGAATTGCCAGAGAAAGCACATATATTTCTAACTGATAGAAATTAAATAGAGGGAAACAGGCTTCATCAAGACATTTTGCAGCCTGAAAGAGAACAATCAAAGACCGCTCCTACTCATCTGAGCAGAAGATTTGATGATGAAGTAAGCATTGTGATGGCATACTGCTGTTTCATTATTTGCTTCTCCATGAATTCACCCTCAATTCACATGCCACCAAAGTTGCTTTGAAATAAAATGTCTCTCCCCTCCCTCTGTCCTTAGAAGTAAAAATTCAGCCACAACCAACATGATAACTCAAAACTTCTTGTCCATAGTGGCTGCCTCATTTTGCTTAATGGTGGTTTCCATCCTACAACAGGTGCCTGCTGGCATCAACTGCTACTCTCCTACACATAAGACTACTTCTGAGAAGAGAAGCTCTGGAGATGCTTCTTGACAATACACTTGCACAATGTGCAATGCACTGGCTTTAGCGGAGAAAGAAGTCACAGAAGCATTTGTGCCATCAATGCATGGTAACTGGTGCCCTTCACACATGATTCAGGTTAGTGTGTCAGTAGAGTGCGTTAACCAAGGATGTTGAGGAATCTTTCATCTTTCAGTGTAACTGATATGCAGGCACTCTTCTTTAAAGCTATTTTTATCATTTTTAATTTGCTGCTAGGAGTTCAGTGAGACTATATCATGCTGCTTTTGGCATAAAGTCACTCTGTTAAGTAATACCGATTTTAATTGAGAATTAACTTTGTCTGGCAAAGGTTGCTCCTGTTAATTCATAGCTGAGTTCTTGCAAATCGCTCTGATTTGATCTCAAGGCTCCAGGTTCTTCTCTTGAAGCTTTGTTTGGTCGTCAATAATATTGCTTGGTTAGTCTTACTCATAAGACCCAATAAGCCATAGACGGATTGTAAAAATGATAGGCATTATAAAACAACTATGAAATAATACTCAGAGAGTTATTATTATTTGTTATAATGAGGCAGCAATCATGATCTTGTAAACACTCGCTTCCCTGAGGGATGTTTTTCTGGGCCTATACTGGACTTTTTGTTCTATTGAAGGCCACATTCATGACTGATTACATGTCAGTGGAAATGAGGTAGAAACAAATGGTGGGGAAGACCATCAACAAAATTTGGAGAAGATGCCCATTGTTGCCTTTTCTCCTCTTGCTGATAACATTTCTCTCCTCCTCCTTGCAAAAGAAAGAATAGCTCTGTCCACATCCATGCATTGGATTGAGAAGTGAACGTGAAAGGGTTCCCAAGGCCACTCTAAATGCTGTGACAGCATTTGGAATGACTGTAGAAGCTGTAAACCTACATTCATGGTTTCCTAGGCCAGCCTGAATCACTAATTCATATACAAAGAAAACAGCTTGCTTGCCAACTAGGTTATGGACTACAGCTACGTTCTTCATTTTTTTCCTCTTTATTTCATTCAACCAAAGAACAGAAATAGAGCAGAATTCACTCCAGCCACACTCCCCACACCTTATGTTCTTGCCATCCAGCATAGAAGAGGTGGCAAGTTGGTAAAATATTGGTTGCTTGTCAGCTAACTCCAACCGTCTAAATAAGCAAATTCATGCAACAAGAAGGGATGTGGGAAGAAGGTTATTGAGCTCTTGGCTAAGAATAGCTAACCTGTTTTTCCTGAGAAGAATCCTGAAACAAAATGTACATATCAACATGATATAAATAGATAGTTTCCCCCATCTCATCCTTCCTCAGAAAACAAACTTTAATTGCAAATAGGGGAGCCAGTCAGGATCCTGCCAAATTTTTCATTGCTGGTTACTTCCGTTCTGAAGACATGTCCCCATTTTTTTGCATGGGGCTGAAATATGGAGTAGAGAGATTCAGATGAGATGTTTCTATTATGGGTTGACTTTGCTATTGTAAAATTGAATATTTCTGTCAGAGCTAAATAATACTAAATAAATGCTCAGGTATGAAGGATGTCTAGAAAAACTGTTGTTCATGTGGATTTAAAGCAACAAATATATGTCAGAATCCATGCAGAGTGTGGCTAATCAGAATTTTGTTGTTCGAGGGAAGAGCCAGCAGTGCTTTTTTTCTATATATAAAAAAAAGGTGCCGGAACTCACACACATCATACAACCCGCCTTGCCTACCCTACAAGGTTCCATCCAAATAAGATGTCGGAACTCCGTTCTGGGCATTCTATGAGAAAAAAAGCCCTGGGAAGAGGATATACTCTGCTCTCTTCTAATGACATCCCCCCAGCAACTTTCAGACTTAAGAAACAAAAATTATCAAAATCTTTACTCATATTGCCAGTACATATAATTTTAACTTGATAAATCAGACAGCATATGTAAGACAGTGATTCTTGATGCCTTTGAGTTCTTCAGCTGGAATGAACCTGGTATACGGTATGTACCATTTCTTTGCAGAATGACACTGACAGGCTAATCTCAGGGATCTAATTATGATTCAGCAGCAGTGGTCTGGGTGTTCCTACTGAGTGTTAGTACAAACACTGGTATAAGCAGAATAACAGGCATTTTGAACTGGCTGCAGCAGGAAGTGAGGAAGCAAACTGTTTTACTCTTTACCAGATGGACAGCAATGCTTCCAAAGTAGTCACTCAGGCAATCTTTTCTCCTCACAGCTTTGTCCTATCAGCGCATTCTCCTCTACCTTACCATTAACCATGGTTAGGAAATGTAACAGCTATCTCAGTGGAGCCATGTGTCATCTTCTGAGTCCAATGCTCAGTTTTCAACAGCATCATGCAAATGCTCTGAAGAACTAACAGCTTTCGAAGAGTCGTTGGCATCAAATCAAAGGTCTATCTGCTCCATCATTCTGTCCACATGTTGGCCAACCAGATGTCTGTCAGTAGCACTTCAGGACATGACAGTTGTAATACCTTCCTGCTTTTAAGACTGAAGCTATCAGTTGTATTGGCTTGTGGGTGTGTTAATTCTTTGTGAAAAGTGAGATACATTAGTGCAGTTAAGATTGACACTAGCAACTGAAGGTGATGAGATTAGTTCTGATCATTTATTTGAAGCACTTTAAACCTCATTGCAATAAAAACTCATCATTGCTGCCTTCCTAATATCTCCAGAGATGGTTAATCTCAACTCATTGCTCTCTACACAATAGCCTTTTGCTCTTCTAGACAATAGTCTTTAGTAATCAGTGCTGCTTTCTAAATTCCAAGGATTAAGTGGTTAAAAATTCAATAACAGGAGTGGATTAGGGAAAGCACCACCCAATATGCAGCAATGGCACACGTGCACCCTCCAAATTTGTAATTCTGGCTTCTGTCCTGACATCATCCTCCCTCAAAAGTTGCAATCCAATTTTAATATTATTGGGACAAAAAATAAGTCATTAAATATAGGGGATGTGTAATCCTATTTAGTTCAATTCAGTTTAATTTACTGTAAGCCCAGTTGTGCTTTACCTTGGTACCATTCACCCTTCACATGAAAGACCAAGTATGGTTTTCAGTCCCAACTTTCAGTTGAGCAACCCTGGTCTACACTCTGAAAATGCAATCTCACTATCAAGTGAAATGACTTTATGATACACATGCTCCTTCTAACAACTGAGCTCCTAGATTAATATATATATATATATATATATATATATATATATATATATATATATATATATATATGCTTTTTCTTATCACAAAAGCACAAAAAGAGTGACAGATTAATTCTAACCCAAATAGGATGCATCAATGAAATAAACCATTTCAAGAGATAAAGAAGTTTCTCTATTCTGCTTTGGTCAGAAAACCTGGAGTCCGTTTCTGACCACATTTAAAAAAGAGATTTGCCATATTCAGGTAATATTATCAAAAGCAGTAAAATTCATCACATGAGCAATGGGAGAAATGCCACTCTACCATAAATGGGCCCTTTGATCTTAGTTAAAGGCAAGTGCATGTGGGTGAGCAAAGTTGTCTGCACACTGGATGCATTCCCATATGCACCTGACAGCCTCTAGATCAGATGAAGAAAATAATGATAAAATAACCTGTAGTTCTTTCCTGCTTCTCCTGTGTATACTGAAGCTGAAGGAATCCAATTCCAAATTCTTTGGAGGGCTACTGCTATACAGGTCATACTTCTCAAAATTCCAAGAGCCATTAAATCCTAACATTATTTTAATTTCAAGCTTCATTGTTTCAGGATAGGTCATTGGTGTCTATGCCCAGTATTAACTGTAGGGAACCTGCCTGGAAGCTCATCTGTAGGCTAAACTGAGAATTGAAAAAGGTCTCAGTAGTAGGCAGTGGCCAATTGCTTCCACATTGCTGCCATAAAACTGACATGTTGAAGTTGACATCAACTGGAAAGAGTCTTTACTTACTAAAATGGCAGCTATAAGTCTCGCTCTATTGCCAGCTCCACTATTGTTATTCCAAATCATGATTTAATATAGGGCTGCACATTCATAACAATGTGTTGAAGGAAAGTCTTCATCATGGTTCAGTCCAAGCCGGGGATAAACAACATGGCGACAGCTTTAGGAATAAGGTTGTAGTTTATTGAAGGCAGAAAGATGGCTCTGGAAGAAAAAGAGAGTGAGCACATGTAGGGAGTTGGTTTTTATATCCTCTGGAGCCTTTTGTTTGGAGTTGTTCCTGTGGCATGAACTTTGACCTGAGTCTGAGTGTGCCTTTCTGGTATTCCGATGGTGGTGGGTTAATTCTATTATGTTCCTGCTTCCCTGTATCTGTGGCTGATGACTCTTAGATTTTTGGTGTTGATTCGAGGGATCTTTCTTCCTAATCCCAGTTTCCCAATTCCAGTCTTTCTGACAAGATTATCACATCTGCCATTCTGCAAACTTGGTTTCTTTTTGGGACAAAGAGACTTGGGGACAGGATTGGTTTCTGCTTTTAAAATCCTTTATGGAAATATATTGTGCCTTTTAAATATTTCCAAAAATATTTCTTTCTCTGTGTGTGTGGGGGGGACTTCCCACAAATGCTTATCACAATGCTGCTTGCAACCTGATCCTTGTTATAACTTTTCCCCTTCCTGCTGATACTGAATTATGCTTTTTTCCCCGCTGATTAATCTGCCAAGAAAAAAAAAAAACCCCAGGGAAGTGGGTGGTTTTCTCTACATTGATTCTCTCACCTTTCTCTAAAGGCCCGGACTGCAGTATTACTGGCAATGTTGGTGGCTTGGACCATGTTAAGGACCAATAATGATTAACTCTTCCTTCCCATGTTTCCCACTTTCTCACTGACCTCCTCCCTTCCTCCAATTCTTTTCATCTGCCACACTGATAAAAGGGAGAAAGATACGGATGCACAAATGATTGACTCAGGAAAAAAGAAAGCTTGGTTAAACAAAGATCTTTAACCACTCTGCTGTTACAGCAGTGCAGGGAAATGGAAGTATAGAAATTACTAGACTGCATGATAAGCATTGGCAGAGTTGAAGGGATGGTCCTTTCTTGGCAAAATAGGCCTATTAGCTGCTGAGATTAGTCTGCATTAAGCTAAATCAGTGTAGCTCAGACAATAGTATTGGAGCAACACTACAAAAACGGGCCCTTTGAAAATAGGGCAGAAAAACTTGTCCTAAGATGTTTTTGAGAATGAGTGGGGTAGTAATAAAAGGTACCATTCATTTCTGACTTCCAAAATGAGTTTACTATTTCTTTCTGGCAATCGGACAATTGAAAAGTATATATAACATTTTAATTAGGCTAGTTGCATTAAAATTAGAATTGGATTATATTCTCCTTGATACTGAGGTTTTCTTATCCCCAAATGCTCAGATTAAATATATATCTCATCAAGGCCTAATTCAAACCAATTAAATGCTTTCAAAATTCCTTTAACATAACAACTCATTTCAAAGCAGTAAGCGGTACCAACAGATTATGTATTCCTTAAATTTAGAAATGTTTTTGTAATGTACACAACAGAAAAGCATCCCAGCTATCTCTGAAAATTGACCAGAGATAGAACCAAACAGGATTGCCTAGAGGGCCTTTCAGAGTTGCAGTGCAGTGTTGCACAAAAGAATAGTGTCCGGGTTGCAATGTCACCACACACTTTTCATCATTTATCTCTCATTGCATAGTCACCCATGGAACTGTTTTGCAAAAGGGATCATGAACCCCACTTGTACTTGTGAATTGTGAAGGAAAAAAAAAAGAATGAAGACGTATAATAGGTGATAACCTCATGAATCAATAAAGCCTTATTAACTTAGTTTTTCTTGGTCTGTTGTTTGAAATAAACATAGTCACAGTGATCACTGATAATAGCGGCATCAATAGAAATGGAGAAAAAGGGAATGAAAAATGGGAGCATATTGTTGAGGGAAAATATTGCTAAAAAATGAAGGAAGCATACACAGAAATCTCCGCCTACTCACTTAGGGATTATCTCTTTATCTATGCCTTGGATTCATTTTTGATTTAGTGCTAAAGACTAATCTACACTTAGATGGGCCATGAGACCATTAGCCTGCCTTAGTGGGCAGATTTAGAACGAGCTTATTAAAAAGCATCTGTCATACTACAAAGCTGTAGTGTAAACTAGCTCTGGCTTTGAGAAATTAGAGATGATTCAGAAAAAAAGCTTCCAATGGATCTGACAGTGAGCATGTCCAAAGCGTGTTTTCTGCTACATACTTTGCGTGATAAGGCTTATCTTTCAGCTCTAATCTCACTGTCCCTGAACATGCAGATATGCTCAGGAATAATTGCATTAAGGCTTGTGTGGCTGAACATACAAGTATATGGTGACAGTAACTCAGCAATATCATGCAAATGAGAATGGCATCTTAAACAAACGCAGGAATCGCTGGAAGAATAGTCAGTGAAGAAGAACATTGAGCATATTACCAGTCATAAATATTCCCATTCTCCCCATGGATCCTCTTCCCACAGTTCTTTTTGCATTTTTATTACCCTCTGCTCCAGTTACACACATAGAGCTATGGAAATAAACTTAATGCTCTTGGATGTACCCATCAGATTAGATCAAATCTTTCCCAGGAAGAATGCAATTCCAAGACTCCTCAATTCACCATCTATTCACCATCTCTTGTAGAAACGGCCGTCCTAGACGTTCTTCAGTAATCCCATAAAAAACACTTCTTTCCTCTCCTGAGCTCTTATTTCATTCATGTTGTTCTCCTAATCCTTGGCTTAGTGCCTCTGAGTTGTTTTTAGATTGTTCTCCAGAGTCCCGGCTTATCTAAACTGTATGCTTTTAACCAGCCAGTCCAGCTTCTTCTCTCATTTCCTGCAACTTCACATCTCTCTCTCTCTCTCTCCAGCTTTTACTCAACCTCTGCTACTCAAGTTCTTCCATCCTTTTAGCTGTCTTGGCCATCCTTTCCCAGCAGCCTTCAGCTCTATTGCCAAGTCTTATGATTTATTCTTGCTGTTTTATCAAGGCTGCAAAACCCTGGGTCAGGTGATCCAGTGAAAAAACTCAATTCCCTGGCAAAGGTAGTGCTTTTCCACTTTTTTAAAAAAATGTAGATTAACAACAGGAAACCAACCTCTTTATAAAGACCTCAAAGACACTATTTTTCAAAGTCCTCAGTCTGAACTTCTCCCTTCCACAGGGTGCAGAAATCTTTAACAAGCCAAAAGGAGGATTTCAATTAAACACACACACACACACACACACACACACACACACACACACCACTTAAAGGCAGAATGGATTGTGTTTCCATCCACTCTTGTTCTTCCTTTCATACTGCAAAGAAAAGGTCAGATTGCTCTCCAGAACTATATCCTTCTTTGTAAAAGAGATGAACGCGCAGAGAACACAGCTCTGGGCAAAGCAAAGTTATAATAATAATTTCAAAAAAGACAAGAGCTGTCCTATCTTTCCTATGCATAAGCAATAACTTGGGGCAGCAGATACTAGAGGCATAATCCTCTCAGATGGTCCTCTTGCACTTCTCTGCCTACCCTTTTTCCTCCCTTCGGAAGGCACAGCTCTGTAAGCCTTGATTGCAGTTCTTAGTCTAGGTTTCTTGTATATTTGGTGAAGACTGCTAGCCCATCAGTACTATGGAAATATAATCAGCATCCCAAAAGTAAATGCAGAGGTGGGGGAACCACCTTGTCCTTTGCCTCAGGCAGAAAAATGTAAGAAAAGGTAGATTAGAACAAGCCACTGTGGCATGTAACTCAATTTCCAAGCATAGACATTCTTAATATCTTCTGTGTATTTTGAAACCTTGAGCAAGTAACAAATGACATAGGTTTCTCAACCCATATTTCCAAGCATAGAAATAGCCTGTATTCACACAAAATGAATGGGCTTGACCGCAGACCCATTTGACAGAATTAAACCTGGACAAATTCAAATACGGTCAAAAATGAAATATAGAAATCAGAGCAGTCATAAACAGAATCTCATAGTATCTACAAGTGTCTCCAGTGATGCAATGCATCCATCTAATAGTATTTTTACACTCTAGGCCCCTCAACCTCATCTTTGAACCCACTAGCATGGCAGTTAATTCATACCGTATTGACATTTCCAAAATTAGGATGAGTGGATACAATCAAAGATGATCTGTGTGAACTTCTCACAGTTCACT